GAAATGTTATATTTATCCACTAAATATAGGTAATATTGATTCTATATTTAGAAATCTAAAAATAGTTTGGATAAATATAAAAATTTTATAATATTAAAAATCTCTTATATTTATCCTTATTTACCACCCATAATCATGCCCTTAGAAATCCAAAAATGGTTTGGATAAATATAAAAATTTTATAATATTAAAAATCTCTTATATTTATTCTTTAAATATTTTAAATGGAGATGGTCTTAGATATAATTTTCATGAGTTGTTTCCCTCAACATGGGGATTTTATTTTCATGTAAAATCTTTACAGATTTGACCCGTAATATGAATTTGAAAACAGAGACAAAAAAGGTAATTTGAAAACAGTGAATTTTGAAAAAGGTATTTCAGAAGCATTTTTACTTTAACGAAAAGGTATAATTATTTTCATTAAAAAATAGAGACAAAGCTTTTGGAATTTTCCCAGTCGGAAGTGTGATGAAGCTGTGGAAAACGACGAGGCCGAACGTGAAAGCCATTCCCACACTCTCTCTTGGCAAAAATGTGCGTTTCGAAAACCCTAACGCTTCTCGTCGCGTACTCCGCCGTGGTTCTAACCATCGGCGGTTTCGAAAGAGCCGTTGCTCAGACTCTGGGCGGAAACACCAATAACGTCTACTCGCCTTGCTCCGACACAAGGATCCAGAGATCCGATGGATTCACATTCGGAATCGCATTCTCGTCGCGTCCGTCTTTCTTCCTCAACCAGACGCTTCTTCTCTCTCCCTGTGACCGCCGACTTACCCTCGCCGCCATGAACTCTCAGCTTTCTCTCTTCCGCCCTAAGGTCGACGAGATCTCTCTCCTCTCTATCAACACCTCCGCTTTCTTCCCGGTAATCGAACTCTGCTCGCTTCTGTTTGTTCAATAAACTCGATTACTAGTTTTGCTTAGTAGATTAATTAAGAAACATTTTCTCTTGAGGGTTTTAAAATTAGGAATATGCATATTTGACTTATACTCATTGAAGACCTTACCCTGAATAGACAATTCTCCGATTTGGTTTTATGCCATCACAAATCAATCATGATTAGGTGCCAAAACCACCACAGGATTACTTGAATTAGTCAAGTGCAAAGTTGGATTTTCCTCTATTTATGTTACTGTGCTACCTTCTGACCATTTTGGTAATAGGAACCCTAAAGTCTTAATATGTTTTTTGGATGCATAATCTCCTCAGGACAACTATGGTGGATATATGGTGGCATTCGCTGGTCGGAAATATGCTGCAAGGTCTCCTCCAGCTTTCATTGCTAACACCACCTACATCGTAACCAGTTTTACTTTGGTAAGCCTGTAGACACCATGATTTATAATTCGATCATGTAGATTCCTCAAGGGCTCTTGGTATTATGTTTTCAGGTGATGGAGTTCCAGAAAGGTAGGCTTCAAAACCTGTACTGGAAAAGAGACGGGTGTGCGTCGTGCAAAGGCAATCCCAACTTTGTGTGCCTCAACAAGCAAGATTGTGCTATCAGAACACCAAGCTGCAAAGGTCGGGGAGGTACAGTGGACTGCAGTCTCGGGATCCAGCTTGCATTTTCCGGTACTGACAAACACTTGGCGGTTCTCAACTCGTGGTATGAAGTGGAGAACCTTAAGCAGTATTCTCTTTATGGTCTGTATTCAAACCTCAAGAGCTCCCTCACTAGTCAGTTCAACAATTTCTTCTGATCTTCTTTAACTCTTGAAGGGATCTGTTGTTTGTTTGTAGCACGTAGGCAACTTTCTTTGGTGACTCGCTAATTATTTATGAAAAATGACTGCTGAAATGGTTTATGGTAGGAACCGGAATGTCCCTATTCCGGGCAAATCTGGTTTGGTTTAACTACTCGTTTTAAGGGTCTTTGGATTTCAGAGTTACGTGGGATGGAATTGAATCTAGTAAGAAAACCCATATCCTTTTACTGATCAATAGGTACTAGATATTTGTGCTTCTATTCAGTCTTCATAACCGAAACCAAATCATTTATAACAGAACAGATAATAATTTTGTTTTGGTTCAACAGAATTCTTCTTAAACCAAACAAAACAAAGGATCAAGTAACCGAAATGACCTTCCTTGTTCAAGAGTCAAGACTATTAGCAATCCTGTATCCAGTAAACCATCCTAAGTTTTTTTTTGTCTCGAGTTCTTAAACCATCCAATATTGGTCTCAGATTAAGGACGTTAGCGGTTCTGAGTTTGCTTATCTCCAACTCATGAACTTATCCGATACAAAGCTATATGATAATGATCTGTCTCTTATACACATCTAGATGTGTATAAGAGACAGATATTGGTCTCAGATTAAGGACGTTAGCGGTTCTGAGTTTGCTTATCTCCAACTCATGAACTTATCCGATACAAAGCTATATGATAATGATCTGTCTCTTATACACATCTAGATGTGTATAAGAGACAGATATTGGTCTCAGATTAAGGACGTTAGCGGTTCTGAGTTTGCTTATCTCCAACTCATGAACTTATCCGATACAAAGCTATATGATAGCACCCAATCTTTCCTATTCGGTAGTTCGGTCTATGATTTTTTACCCATGGACATTGATAAGATCTTTCCATATAGAAGCACCTTCGGATGACATAYCCCTTAAAGTAAAGGTAGAGGTTCAAACAAGGAAAGACTTACGGAGGTTACGTAGGCACCTAGAGACGAGTTTATTTGGCTCAGCTTTTATTGACCATACCGTATGGTTTTCTGAACTTATAATGTTTGTGCAGCGTTATTAAGGTCAACTCAGATATGGAAAAGCAAGAGATGCATTGTTCTTAATTCCATCGAATAAAATGTGTTCTCTTTTCCATGAAACCCGCAGTTTTCAGACAAAACACTAGCAGCTGCATATACCAAACGCTAAACCCTTTTAGTCCTGTAACATTACATGATGATTCCTATAACAACACTTTCTGTTCTCCTCAAGATCTCTCTCAATTTTTTAACTATTTGGACTGTGTTTGCCTCATCTTGTGGCGTTTCTGGTCCCACCTCTAACATAAATATATCCTTGAATCAAGACAGTGAATCAAGACAGTGAATATGTCCTTTTCTTGATTGCTTTATTCTATGTTGCTATGTTGATGAAGCAAGGTTGGTGACACCAAAGTAAAGAGTCTTCTGGTTGAAAGCATTTATGGCATAATCAACCTGAAGGTGACCCAACGGAGACTTGAACCGTAGTCCGTACCCAAATCCGTACCCAAACCCTGGCTTCCCTTGTCTCAGTGAAGGGTTTCCTAAAAGCAATTCCGTAGCAGCTTAATCAAATTTACGTTCAATTACTTCTTTATGAATGATGTTTGGAGCCGGCAAAGTGAGTTACCAGGGACAAGGCGGCTTGAGCCTAGGTCTGTTCCACAATCCAAGAAGACGGTCCCTTCTGTCATTTTGTTCTGGCAAACAAAGAGGAACCAAACCTTAATTAAAGCTTAAAAGGGAAAATAGTTTGATGGTTCTGAAGGCCAAATCAGGTAACTGCTCCAAGTACCAAAGGCAAGGCCAATTCTGTATTAGCAACAAGGCATGACCGCCCGGATCCAACAGCACCCTCACCATATCCCCGAACACTGCCTAGCCCACCAATGGCAAATGCTTGGTAAGGAGCCATGTCTCCTACAATTGAACCACCTGTCAGGCTGTCACCGAAGAGGTAAGAACCATGCCAAAACTCGGATCTCGTTATAAAGCCTCTTCTACTTGTCTAGATAGAGAATGTAAGATTCTGTCAGTACCTTGCTAAGAGAAAAGCTGGTCCCAACCTGACACCTTTTGATGCGACAAATTTAAAACGGTTGAAGATAAGCCACTTGGACACAACCGGAATACCTTGTTCTATTTGCATGCTGAACTGAAAAAGCAAGAAACCAGTACGAGAGAAAAGAAAAGTTGGGAAACCAAGTGCAAAATGGCTACATCATTTGCCTAACATAAATGAGGAGTTTCTTACATGAGAAAGACCCTGGTCGCTAGCCTTTGCAAACCGGGATTCTTGCTTTAAAACTACCATACTGTCATGGGTATTTCCACTGCATAGCAAAGATTTCTACACGATGTAAATATCAGTTTTACGGTAGAGCTGAAGGAAACAAATCAGGGCAAGAGGTATCTAATATCACCTGCAAGTTATAGGAAACCCATCCAGATCTCTCGTAATTGAGCGTCCATCATCATTTATCGGACGCACATGCTACACCAACGGAGAATATTACTCTTTTACCCCCCGAAATAAAACAGCAACGAGAACAATAATATTGTT